AACTTTGTCTACAATTTTATTTTATTTTTGTTCATCCATAAAAATTATGATACCTGCTAGACCTAGACTATAAAATTGTAATTGTATATAATAATAATAATTTTTTTATTACTTTTCTTAATTTTCATTCACACAATAATTTTCATGATGATTCTGCTTTTAATCATAAAGAAATAACTGGTTTTTGTTTTCAGTGGTGCATATATCCGATTATTCTCATGCGTTTTCAGGAACTAATAAAGTTACTTAACTGGAGATATCCTGAGCACGTTCCTTTTTTAATTTTCACCTTGTTCATAATCCAAATGCGTCGTTCGTAGTCGTATCAAACAATTATATTATAAAGTCCAAGTTTACCCTCTTTCTGCATACAAAACTTATATGATTACCATCGATTACACGTGATATTAATAATACACAAAAAATATTGGATTTGTTATAAATTAAGACTTATGATAATAAATAACTCTTTATGTTATTTATCATAATTTTATGTGAAATAAAATGTAAATATTTTAAGTACTCTTAAGATTAAAAGAGCATATTATGAAACGTTCAGTTTTGTTTTATTAAATTTTCATCAAAATAATACTTAAATAAATGGTATTTATATTTTACAGTGTATAATTTATATAATTGCCATTAAATACCTTAAATCGACTATTTAATCAATAACAAAGAATGTCAATCGCATGCTTAATGGTTTATCATATTAAAAACCGAATGTTTTAAATTAAATTTATGTATGAATATATTGAGTAAGTTGTTTTTATATTCAATCTTATAAATTTCAAAATATTCATATGGTATGTAACAGTGATTAACTCAATGATGAGGTCAATTTATTCCTCTTATAAAGCAAAGTTGTTACCTACTGTTACCGTTTTTATTATTGTAAACTATCTAAAATTTGGAAGTCTTAACTAAAAGTTTACCTTTTATGTGTTTTCTTCGTAACTATTTCTTAGCATCTCTCACTACTGTACATGTCATAATTAAAACAATCTGGAATTTTTGAAAATCCATAGATACTACGTCAATTAATTGAGTCATAGATACTTCTATAGTTACATCATTTCATTTATTTGCTTGATAAACACGTCCAAAAACAGATTATTTTTTTATAAAAACGATTAACCATTCTAAAAATGGTCTACGATTTACGAATAATACGTATTATGTTGTACGTATTGGTGTTGGATAAAATATTACATTTACATATTTAATTATTAAATTGATTTTTTAATAAGTTTAAGTTAAATTCTTTATCAAGATAATTTAGTAATAATTTTTTTATTGATTTCATGATGATGATAATTTACTTAAATTCAATAATGTAAAGGATTTTTTCTTATGTATAACATTTGTAATTGTCATGCATTTAAATATGGTATGCGGATCAAAGTATTCAAAACTCTTTATAGCTGACCTTAAAATTATAATTACTTCCGGGAATATATTTCATAATATATATTATGTAAATTGAGAGTGTTGCCAAATAAAAAAAAAAAAACAGTCTAAATCTACTTTTGTATTCAACATGTAGTACCTATTTTTAATTCAAAAATGATTAACTTTCTTTCGGATTTTTTAGTTAATGACAAGCAGATGTACTACTTTATGTGTCACTTTTATTCGAATACAACAGTTATACAAAAAATATATTTTAAATTAAAAATGATTAGACAGTCTCAATTATTAACTTAATTCCATTTAACTGAAACATAATACTTGTTAACACTTACAATTTTCTCATTAATTTTTACTATTTACACCAACTTCCAAAATGTCTTAAATTAAAATTTAAAAATTTAAAATCCAATACACTTTGTTCAGTTAAAAAATATATCTGATTAATATTTATTTTTAAAATTCAGCAAAAGTAAGAAAGCTAATGGTTTAAAAATAATGTGTAACTTTAAAGAAAAACACTTTTTTATGTTTTAAAAGTTTTGTACAGCTCTACTTTTATCGATTGTAAAGTGGGCATAGTTATAGGAGAGTGGTACGTTAGAATATCAAAGTAGTTTTAAAAAAGATTTCCAAAAAAATATCAAGGGCTTAGTAATTCTTTTTTCATCAAAAACATCTTTTTTTATATTGAATTTGTCTAAAACGTTTAAAGACATCGAATAGACATATTAACAGATGTATTTTCAAACAGATTAGATTCATATAAAAGTTTAAATTTTTAAGTTTAAATACGATTAGTTTGTAATATCAAGGCAATAATGTCTATAATCATAATTTATAATTATGTTTTGACTTTTTAATTTATTCCACTGTAAAAATAAATTTATAACATAGCTTAATGTTTATGCAATAAAATATTTTATATCTTACTGGTTAAATCATTTGATACAGATTTTCTTATTATAATATGTACTCGTATATTATAGATAAATATATGTTACAAATTATAATTGATGATTATATTATATTACAATATTATACTTACAAAATGTAATTTATTACACTGTTAAACAATACATTTTTGAGTTTAAACTCTTAATGCTGCATACATTTAAATTTCACGAAGTAAAGCATAATTGAAGTTTGTACTTTTAAATAAATAAACTATTTGGATAGGTGAATATCGTTTATAGATATTTTTTTATGTACATTTCAATTATTAACTGTTGTGTAGTACATCAATAATTTACACAGTACCTTAATGTCAATAAAAATAATTTTTTGACGATATTACCACTTCATTATATTTGTAGTGATAATATTTTAAAAAATGACTAATACACACACACACTCGGGCTCATATATATATATATATATATACATATATATACATGTATGCGTATGTGTGTGTAATAATAGATCCACGTATTATTTAATAAAGAAAATCAAACATTTAAAATACAATAATTTAAGAAATTGTAAAATTATAAAATTGAAAAAAATAGCCAAGGTTTTAAATATTTACACTTCGATTTGCTTCTATATGGTTTTATAGATTATAATTAATGTGATAAAAAATATAATATGGCAATCATATATATTGAATTATTAATATTTATAAAAATGACAATAATATTTTTGTTCAAAACACATAAATAATTTATGATAAATAGATACTCTCACAAGTAATTTAATGCAAAAATAATGAATGTTAGTATATGTTTATTATTGTCTCTACGTGAATTACACATTGTGCCTTTCACAACCGTATAAATCATCTAATTTGTCTATTGTTCAATAACCTTACGTAATAACCCATGTTTTATGATGGACATTGTCCATTTCTAAAATACGTTCAGTACTACTATGATTATACAAAATATGTGAACTATGTTTAATTAGTACACGAAAGTGTACCAATACTTTTGGTGTAAAATATTTAATGAAAAAAAAAAAAAATTGTGTATTTCTCATCGAGTAGAATTAACTTAAAAATATATCTAAATAATTACACAAAATTAAAAATACCTAATAAAGTATAATCGAGTTTATTCATAAATTTTAACTAATAATAAATAACTAAAGTCACAGTTTCTTCACTCTCCAAATCAAAAACATTCCTTGAATTGATATCATATAAAATATAGTAAATTACAGAATAAATATAAAAGTATTTTTAGACAAGCAACAACACATGCTATTAACCATTGGCTTTTATTATATTTTATTTGTTTTCAAAACACACAATTTCCCCTCCTGGTTTGAATAAATTCATTATTGAAATTTATTGAAAAGCATAATATCACATGTCAAAAAATAATACATGCAATGATCGACATTAATTATAGTGTAAATTAGAAACACTTGGTTTTTTTTATGCTATTATAAAATTATTTAATGATTTAGAATTTTGTGATTTAATTCGTATTTTTTTTCAGAAATGACGTTGATGTATTTTGTTATTTATGAGAATCTATTCTATGATCAAGTTTTGGAGTAAACGATTTACTGTAAATCTAAAACTTCGATTGCATTATTTTAGTAATTTATAAAAAATTGACATTGTTATTTTCATGATGAATACTAAGAATTAAGATAGATTGTTAATTTGACGTTTGCAACGATTTTTCTTTTCAAAACGGTTCAAAACAGATTTTGTAATCTGTTTTTAGTATAATAATCCTATCGAGTCTTTGTGTGGGTTCTATATATTATTTCAAACAACTTAGTAGATCACCATACATGTGTTCCTATTCTCGTATTTGTGCAGAGCATAATTACTCAGTTGGGAATAGGTCGCGGCGTACATAATCACGCAATGTTACGAACCACAATCAAAGGGAAGCTCTGTGGACTTTAAAATTTGCAAACAATTTGTTCAATAACGAATCACGTTTGTAATAATAATTATTGTAATTTCTACCGTTACGAGAGATGACTAAAATCTCATCAAACATTTCGTCCCTACTACTCATTAGTCAATAAAATTATTAGTCGTACATAAAATAATAGTAGGTAATATAGCAGATATACATCTACGTCAAATAAACCTCTTGCGGTTTATCACAATATTAATAGACAAAACTAATTATGATGATTATTAAAATATAATATTCTTAGTTAAAAATTATTTACAATAATAAAATATTGAGTTTTTATTGTTAAATCAAAATTTGCGAAACGATAAATACATTTACAGTAAAATTTTGTTAATTAATTATTTGAATATTTGTAAAATCTATGTAATGCTTTCTTTTAAAAATGAACATTGCAGTAAATTGTAGAATTTCCATAATCATGATAAAAAAAATGTGATATATTGTAAATAATTATTAACATTTTTTATATCAATGAATTGGTTGAAAAAAATAAAATATCATATTATGTTAAATATTAAATAAAATTTTCTTTTGAAATTGTTAAATTTTCATTTGATTTAATTTTTCAATAATCATAGTTTTTATTTTTATTTTTTATAACATTCACGATTTAAAGTGTTTCTTCTTTTCTTTTTTTTTTTACTATTAATTATTATTAATTTTATTTTAAGAATATAATGCGAATATTTTAATTTTATAGTAATTTATTTAACGTAAAAAAAAATATATATCTCAAAACTCATAATACATTGTTATTAAAATATAAAAAGTTATAACCTTATTTCCCATACTGGGCTTTAATTAAATCAGCTCCTTTTTCAGCCATCATCATTGTGGCGGCGTTAGTGTTGCAAGACACTAACGATGGCATTGCTGAACAGTCAATCACTCTAAGTCTATCAATACCAATTACTTTAAAAGAAGGATCGACCACTGAGGTCTTGTCGCTGATTGCACCCATCTTGCATGTACCAACTGAATGGAAAATTGAGGTAGCTAGATTTTTAATACCGCATTTCCAGTAATCTCTGGTGCCCCACTTGCAATTCGCTTCGCAATTCGGAAATTCTATTTCCTCAAATACGTATCCCGCGTCAGTCATTGGTTTTGTTTTGCACATTTCTACTACGAACTCAATACCTCTAATCATCGTATCGATTTCTTCCTCGTCAGATAAATAGTTCGCGATTATTTTCGGGGTTGCCAAAGGGTCTTTCGATCTTAGTAAAACATGTCCTGTTTTAGTTATTACGTTACTAATCGGTATCATAAGTATTATGTCGCTTTTCATATTCAAATCGTTGTACACATTCGCCATTTTGTCGGAAAATCCAAACATATTTTTGAATGTGTTTAACTGTTGTGTCGTATTGAATGAGTATCTAATTTTCATAATCTCGATGTCAGGATTTCCGGACGCGCGTTTTGTATCGACAAAACTGAGAAGTCCCGTCAGTCCCATTGTACTAATACCTTTGGGAATTAAATCAAATGTTTCCTTTCTAAGTTTTTGACTTTCCGCCGCAATTTCTGCGATTGGTCTATCTTTGCGGTCACTGAGAACAAGTCCAAAAAAAGCGACGTGATCTTGATAGTTAAGGCCGACGGGGAGATCAGCTACTACGTCAACGCACATCTCTTTCAAGTGATCTGCTGGCCCAATTCCAGAAATCATAAGCAATTGAGGACTCATCACTACACCGGCAGATAGAATGACTTCTCGTGTACAGTTGACGGTCTTAAACTCACCTGTTTTTGTAACAAACTCTACACCAATCGCGCTTTTATTTTCGATAAGAATTTTGGTGACTCGGATGTGTTTGGCTACGAATAAATTTGGTCGTCCACTATTAGGTATTAAGAAAGCTTTCAGCGTACTGCACCGCAGTCCATCCCGAGTAATGCTGTCTGACATCGCGTATCCAACTGAACGTTCTATTTTATTTAAATCTTTAATATTCGTCAAACCCATTAAGTCTGCTGCTTGGGATATTGTTTGTATAGCAGGATCTGGGGCTTCGAAAGGACTAACAGTAAGAGGTCCGGAATTACCATGAATCTTTGGATCAAACCTAGTTGAGTCGGTAAAATTTTCAGATTTTATAAAATACGGCAGTATGGAATCAAAACCCCAACCAGTACAACCCATTTTTTCCCATTCATCAAAATCGAATTTTGTTCCACGAATTTGTAGCATTACGTTCATGGACGAACTACCACCCAACATACATCCCCTGGGTACATGACATCTTTCTCCATCTAAACCTTTAAACAAATTATCTTCTTTTTCGGTTAAAAATTTCCAATCGTATTCTGTATTTAACGCCAAACTCCATTTGAGTGGAATTTCCGATGATTCTGGAGGATCACCGCCTGCTTCCAATAGTAAAATATTCCATTCTGATATTTCACTTAAACGAGCAGTAATTATCGAACCGGCACTACCACCGCCGACAACAATAAAATCAAATTTTATCGGGCACTCTCCTGACAACAGATCTGGAGTGAAATCATTCGGATATTTAATCGCATCTAATTTTAGAAATATCTAAATATAAAAATTAATATTAATTAAAAAATAAAAAATAAAAATAGATTACTAATATTTTTGTAAATATACTTACTATACTAAATGAGATAAATACTATTTTGAAAAACATTGATATTTTGTTCAACACAAGTTTTAGAAATTGCAATTTATCATGTATAAACGGTTCTAAATAATAATATAGATAAACGCACCACTCAATATATAAAATAGACGTTCTGCTCTAGTAAACATTTTTTTTTATACCAAATTATCTAGTGATTAATTATTCATATACATACCTGACTATGTAAATATTGTGTTTTACAACTGTGTAAATTATACGAGTTTGTACTGTTTTTAAACATTTTAATACAACATTAAATTTCACACTTAAAGAGTAAAATTGTGAAATGATACGTTAATTTCAATTAATTAATTATAATTTATAAGTTATAAATTAAATAAAAATCTTATCGCAGGTTTTTTATAATAACTTGATATGTGTAGCTCTAACTAATAATATTTATTATTTTTTTTTCAGATACACAAAATATGTGTTACTCCGTGAGCAAAATTTTATTATATTCCCAAGTTTTGGCATAGAAATTATAGGGTAAGTCAAAAACTTTTACAAACTATTGAAAATAAATAACACTGAAAGGTACATATTACTTTTTAGTAAATTTACGATCATATTTCACGTGGATGTTTTTGAGGTTAAGTATACTTTTTGACTTTGGTATGTTTGGTAAAACATATATTTCTGTCAGAAATTTATAATGAACACGTTTCATAGGTTACACATATATTAATTATTAATTATTGTTTTTGCGTATTAACCTATGAGCTATGAGTTATAACAGCATATCATTATCGTGGTAAGAACAATATTTTGGACTTTAGAAAACATGACAAAAACGCGCATGCTGTCAATAAATTAAAAAATATTGTACATGTATTAATTAATATTGATAAATAATAATATATTACTGCATAAAGCTGTATATTTTATAACAAAAAAATTTTAATCATCATGTTCACTTATATTATACGGTACTTATTGATATCCAAATAATACTGAAATTTTAAAATCAAAACATGAATTTACAATAAAAAGTTTTTTCTATTTTTGTTAATATTAGTGGTTTGCAGTTTAATTACATATTAGATTTATCGATTATAAATTGTTTCTTATCTATACATTTTATAAAAAGTAAACATCTTTAAAGAGTCAATTTGTTGATATCAACTAAAAAAAAAAGATAAAAATGCGACTATAGGAAAACTATTAAGTGTATGATCCATCGGATTTTAACAAAAAATATTTTAGTTTAAATAATAAATATTTTATAGATAATATAAACTTTGTTAAATTGATTATAAATTTTTTGTGCATGATGAAATGAAAGTTTTAAAAATATTAAATTGTTTACATTGGGTCAGTTATTGAAATTTTAATATTTTATATTTCTATAATACTCGATAGTTAAAAAATTCGAAATACAAATAACCTATAACCCTTTTTTATCTATTATAATACTAGTACATTAACCATCAATTATACGTTTAAAATACTTTATCGTTTAATATGTTTATTACGAGTAAAGTTTGTAAGAACCTAAAATACCCAACTAGTAAATAAAATTACACCTATAAATTATATATAATAACTAATAATTCGATTATAATGTGAAATCTGTTGATATATATATTTTAAATTCAAAATTTTTTGCAACGCCATCACAACGCACGTCATTAAGGTATGTGAAACGAGTGGAAAATTAGAACACCTGCAAATCCATGTATATATGTGGGCAAGTTTTCTTTTATCAATTAGTTCGTCTAATAGTTATTACATAGTTTTCATATTTATCCGTCCTCTTGTATTTTAAATTTGTTATATGATAATATACATAATCTTATAATATTATGGCACACACATACTGTATGACGGTAACTATACTAAATCTGATGTTAAAATTATTACAGGTATAATAAATAATAATAATAATAATAATAATAATAAAAATATTACAGTACACTACCTCTTATTAACTGCTATCATTTTTAATATAATATATAACATAGTCTACGTTAAATCTTAACGTTCAAATACTATAGTAATAATGTTATTATTCGATGTACCTATCGTAGCGACGGAATACGATGCAATTTTATCACACTTCAGATGATTTTCGTTTCGTCGTAGCCCGTTCGGTGTAACAATATTATAATCATACACGTTTAGTAACGTACTCAAGGTAAGAACTTTAGTTATTTAACAAACCTTGTTGCGAATAGTGAATACCTGTGAATGTGCAGTCACGTATGTGCTATAATATAATATACTTAGCACCACCTGACATATTTTTTTACAGTGTAAGTGTTATAGGGTAACCTTTTGGAGTTTAAAGTTTGATTTTATTGTATTTTTATTTTATTTATTTTCTGTTAAAATTTTAAAATTACAATTGAATACAATTCAAATTATTGTTTGGATTATCGATAAAAAATCAATAGGTAATCGCTCAATTGTGCAGTAAAAAACAGAATTGATTGCTAAATTTAAATTAAATTATATTAAATCATTGTATGTGATAAAAATCTATTTTGAAGGATGTTCTTCTAATAAAACAATGATTTTAATAATAATTTTAAAATTTTAACAAATGTTCATAATATTTTTATAATACATTTTTCCAATTATTTTAAAATTACTACTAATTTTAAGTATTGGTACCAAAAGTATCAATTATAACCAATTTATTGCTAAACATTTTCATCGAATTTTATAATTAGATAATTTATCTAATATAAAAAGTGTACATAAGAAAAATATATACAAAAATAATTCATCAATTTAAAACAAATACACTCATTGCTAGCGCTTAGAATTAAAAAAAAAAAAAAAATTGAAACAATCGAATGATATGATGCATGGACACCCATCAGCAGCAATGAATAGCTTTTGTACCAAGAAACTTACTAAAATCTGTTTGTCAGTTTTTCCCTGTTGGTTCTCTGCACCAATTTATATGTTTTTTAAATATATTTATTTTTTTTAAATTTATTTATGTTTTTGAAATCTAACTGATAAATGGTATGGACATTTATAGTCAGAAACAATAATATAATAATTTTAATAAGTACTAAGTAATTGTTTTGCTTTAACTTTTAAACCATAATACATGTTGTAACATTGAGTAGTTAAAAAAATTTAGAATATCGATTTTAAACATTTATGTATAATTATAGTTATGACTAAAAAATACTACGAAACAATTCGCAAATGTGTGTCTATATTGACAAAATAGGAACCGATTCGGTGACAATTGGAAAACAATTTGTTAGTGCTCGGTGGAAGTATAGTAAATAGTTATTCAATTGAGGTTATTTTTTTTTCTGTTGTTACAGGTGTACAGCGGCAAAGCGAGGTATTGCACGTTAGACTAATACTCGTAGGATATTCGCCTTAAAGTTGAAGTATTCACCAAAGTTTCAAAACAACTTACTGTACTTCACATACTTAGAATTTTTATGAATTGTTCGACAGTAAATAATTATTAAATAGTTTCAACAGATGACAGACCGTTGCGCTGTATAGATATACGTACTATGTAGTGATTTTAGTGTGTGCTGCGTAGTTGTATAGCGACCAATCCCACTAAGTCAAATTTGATATTTTCGTAGAGTAAACGGCGTAGTGTGGTTAGATTGTAAATAGTTATAACTATTTGCTAATAATATCAATATTCAAATAGGACAATAAATTATATGTTACGGTAAAGGTTCGAATACCAGTAAATGTCGGAATTTTGAATATTTACCGAATGATTTCGGTAAAACCTAGGATACACAAATAGTTTGCTTAAACCCCAAATGATTTTTGTAGTTCGGACTTTTAAAAACGAAATTTGGTAAATTTTAGGGTAAACAAAACCAGCGTTGGTAAAAGTCTGAAATTTTTTACTGATAATATGATATTTTTTCTTTTGCTTTATAATAGCTTGTACTCATATATATATTAATAATATTTATAATTATTATTATTACTTAAATATGTTTATTATATATTTCATATTAGATAGATACACAATACACACATTTATATTATAATATATTGTTCATATACATTAATATAAATAATATACATTTACACGAGTATTATACTAAAAAAAATACACTTATTTTAATTACTTGTATTTGTGCAGGCTTAACTATTATGGCATCTTGAGAATACATTTTTTCAAATAATCAAACCTTACAAAGTCTTGTTCATCAGTCAAAAATAGTTGAAATGCTGCTTGATGAACACAAATTTCATTGTCTGAAATTATTATTGCGGATTCTAAACAATTTTTTGATATAGAAATATATTTCGCATAGAGTGAACTTATTTTGAGCAAGTTGAGAGAGTGTTACTGTTTTTTTCCCAGTCGATATCAATTTCCAGTACAAATTTTTCTTCTCTGCTAATATTAACAATAATATCAAATCATTTAAATCCCCGATTATCAATTGATTTTTTTTGTATTGATAAATTTCAATTATTTGACTTCATTCAATATATATATATTATGTTTTTGATTATTAATGTACAAAGAATTTTTGTTATTTTTCGCTAAGGTAACATACTATTTAAAATTTCATAAAAATTATTTTAAGTGACATATTAAACGTAATATAACATTCGTGATAGTTTTAACAGATACTTATCGTACAATTATTTTCAATAAGCCTATATATCAATCTATTATATTTATTATAAACTGCTCTGTATAATAAACTAAACAAATTTTTTGTAAGAACAAATTTTATCACATAGGTATGTATATTTTCGGCTAATTTATTGATTGTGTGAGTAGGTATAACTATCAAAATCTTCCATAATCATGATTTATATTAAAGTCAAAATAAAAATTTTCAAAGTTGATCATAGTATAATAATTTGTAATAAATTAATAATAATATAAATGTGTGTACCTATCTAATACTAAATATGTAATAAATATATATTTAAATAATAATTATTATTATTTATATATATATGAGTACAAACTACTATAAAGCAATGGAAAAAAAATATCACATCATTGATAAAAAATTTCAGACTTTTACCAACGTTAATTGTTTATTCTAAGATTTACCAAATCACGTTTGTAAAAGTCCAAACTACAAAAATTGTTCGGGATTTGAACAAACTAATTTGTATATCCTAGATTTTACCGAAATCATTCGGTAAATGTCCGAAATTCCAAAATTTACCGGTATTCGGAATTTTACCGTAACATGTATATATAATTTATTATAGATACTTAGTTACCAGTCGGTATGAATGTAAAAAAATTTTATTCCAATGGTTTTCTTTTCACGGTATAACGATTATAGTAATGATTATGATAATTAATTTATAAAAATAACAAAGGCGTTGAGGTAATCACAGTAACGTGAAGATAACACGCTTTATTCGTATGCTAATTCTTGACAAAAAAAAAAAAGAAAGTATTTAACCAAATTACGTTAAAACAAAAAAAAAAAAGGTTAGAAACTAACGACTTGAACTCAATTTAAAAACAAACATAATTCATCTTAGACAATTATCTCCTCGAAATC